TTTTGAAAGAAAAAGCATTAAGAAGACCGATTCCAATTTGACACTTCCAAACACAACAGATTTTATCTGAGTTGGATTTCTTCTGCAGTAACACTGTCCCAATGAAGGTCTTTACTGGACCTCTAGGGTAAAAGAATTAGAAACAGTTTAATTATAACTGATAGAGCTATCCAGTATAAGTAAAGTTACAGTAGTTTAGTTTAGGTTTCCTCCTGTAGTAATACTGGATCAATAAGTGATGATTCTTACTGGACCTCTAGGAAGAACAGTTTAGAACTGACAGAGCTATCCAGTATAAATAAAGTTAGTTTAGCTCAGGTTTCCTCCTGTAGTAATACTGGATCAATAAGTGATGATTCTTACTGGACCTCTAGGAAGAACAGTTTAGAACTGACAGAGCTATCCAGTATAAATAAAGTTAGTTTAGCTCAGTATAAATCAATCGTTTATTCAAGGTGCTGCGTTAACAAGCGCTGAGTCAAACTTACTGCAAGAGATTTTGGAAGAAACGGAAGTGCCAGTCAGATTAAGAAAAACTTTGGAATTATTGAAGAAGGAATACGCTATGTGTATGCTGCAGCAGAAAATTGGCAAGGAGGTGGGCAGTAGCATTTGCTTTTAATCGATCAACTTCAGAAATATTGAAACTTATATGTAGAACAAGAGAATTAAACTAAACCTCTCATTTATATTCACTTGCATGAGAAGCACGAAATACAATTTAGACTACTACATATAATGAAAATAATTCACATTATTTTCTCACTCTGATAACTGCAGGTTGACCACCATCTGCTATACGGCAGTAGAATAGGCCCCATTTTATTTCGGCCAGTAGAATAGGCCCCATTTTATTTATAATACAGTAAATGGTAACATGGGCCCCCAGGACGAAAAATTCGGTCTGAAGTCATTCGGAGCGGGATAAATGTAAACACAAATACATTTCAGACCGGTCTCGGCTGTGCTCTTGGCGTCGCAACAATGCGTGTTCACAAAAGCTGTAAAAAAAAAAGAAAATGGCTGGCAAGGGGGATGAATTGGAAGATTTGTGATTCTCGTACCTGTGTCTGACTGAAATTTTCGATTTTCAGCCCGGTTCGACTTCGTCACTATCCTATGTAAACGCGGGGTCTTAGACTTAGTGAAACCCGCCAAAGTTTATTTCGTTTTTTCTCTGTCAAGGTGGAAGAGCGAGTGAACAAATTGCAGCGCAAATACCTGCTGACCGAGCAACTCAAGGTGATCAAAAGAGAACTGGGTCTAGAGAAGGACGACAAAGACGCCGTGGCTGAGAAATTCCGAGAACGTTTGAAAGATCGAGAAATTCCTGAACATGTCAAGGAAGTGATTGAGGAAGAACTTAGTAAACTTGGCTTCCTTGAGGCTAATGCTTCAGAGTTTAAGTACGTATGCAAAACTAACTTCATTTGTTCTGGATAGCTCTATCAGTTCTAAACTGTTCTCCCCAGAGGTCCAGTAAGGATCATCTCTCATATTGGTTTAGTATTACTACAGGAGGAAACCTAAACTAAATTAACTTTATGTATACTGGATAGCTCTATCAGTTCTGAACTGTTCTTTCTAGAGATTCAGTAAGGATCATCTCGTATTGATCCAGTGTTACTACAGGAGGAAATCTAAACTAAACTAACTTTATATATACTGGATAGCTCTATCAGTTCTAAACTGTTCTCCCCAGAGGTCCAGTAAGGATCATCTTTCATATTGGTCTAGTATTACTACAGGAGGAAACCTAAACTAAATTAACTTTATTTATACTGGATAACTCTATCAGTTCCAAACTGTTCTTCCTAGAGGTCCAGTAAGGATCATCTCTTATTGATCCAGTGTTACTACAGGAGGAAACCTAAACTAAATTAACTTTATTTATACTGGATAGCTCTATCAGTTCTAAACTGTTCTTCCTAGAGGTCCAGTAAGGATCATCTCTTATTGATCCAGTGTTACTACAGGAGGAAACCTAAACTAACTTTGGTCACAGAGGTGGGAGACACACAAGAAAAAATATTGAAAATGCCTTGATGTTATTTTATCCAGCGTTTCCCGGAATTATCTTGACTGGTTGACAAGCCTCCCTTGGGGAGTATTTAGTGAAGAGAATTGTGACCTAAAGAGAGCAAAGGAAATTTTAGATGAAGATCATTATGGCCTGACAGATATCAAGGAGAGAATATTGGTAATGATTAATTAGTGATCGATTGGTTGATTGTTTATTGATTGGTTGATAACTTGTTTAATGTCGCTGACTTGTGCCAAGGTTGTTATACAGTACTTAAAACAAACTTAACTCGTTGTTAAGGAGCAGCACGCTACTGATTCAACCAACTTTTAGACCAAGTCATTTCAAAGAAAATATTTATCAACATATTTCAGGAATTTATTGCTGTAAGTCAATTGAATGGCTCTGTTCAAGGCAAAATATTGTGCTTTACTGGACCTCCAGGTATTGTAAATAATTTAATTTAACCTTGGCTTTCAAATAAAAAAAGTTGACGCATAGGTAGAAATTTATATACAGTAGATTCATTCTTTTTTGCTACTGTAGGTGTTGGAAAAACCAGTGTAGCAAAATCCATCGCCAGAGCTCTACAACGCGAGGTAAAATCGTTTTCTCACTCTGGTAACTGCAGGTTGACCATCATCTGTTGCACGATAGTGCTTAGTAAACCCAACGTAGGCTGAGTTTTTGTTGTTTTTGTAGTATTATAGATTTAGTGTCGGAGGCATGACGGACGTCGCAGAAATCAAGGGACACAGGTGGGTCTAAAGGCCATTTACAATGCACAACTTTTTCCTAAAACTGTCGCATGCAACCTGAGTTACAACTTGAGTTGTACTGTGTAAATCAAGCACACGATTCATCTACAACAACGTAAGTGAGTTGTGTGCTTGATTTACATAGTACAACTCAAGGTGTAAGCAGGTTGCATGCGACAGTTTTAGGCAAAAGTTGTGCATTGTAAATTGGCCTTAGCAAAGGTCTTCTTAGTAAATACTTTCTGAGTGTACTATATTTATGGTGATTTAATAAAGTTCGTTCGTCCCTTCTATTCTAGGCGAACCTATATCGGAGCGATGCCAGGAAAGATTATTCAATGTTTAAAAAAAGTCAAGACGGAAAATCCACTTGTTCTCATTGACGAGGTTTGAAGAAATTAAAAACTTTTACTAATGCTTCGCTTACACGAAACAGGGCGTATTATGAAACGTACTCAAATTTGTCCGGTTCCATTTGCTTACACGGGAATTAGCATGGTTAACTGTGATTGAATTCTCAAAAGGCGAAAGCGTGGAAATTCATCCAGTCCCGTGCGAACGGAACGTCAAAGTAAAATATCTTTACTGTATTTGCAGATTGATAAGTTAGGTCGTGGAGTACAAGGTGATCCGGCATCGGCACTTCTGGAGTTGTTGGATCCCGAACAAAATTCCGGATTTCTGGATCATTATCTGGACGTACCTGTTGACTTATCCAAGGTGATTCGTCTTTAACGCAGAAATTCCAAATATAAGTTGCCGTGGCCCGTGTCTGAACTACCATGACAGCTTATTTAGAAATCTTTTCCCGGTAGTTCAGACACCTACACTGGACCACCACGTTTGAGATATATTTTCCAGGTAGCTCAGACACAAACCACGACAGCTTATTGTAGAATACTACCTACACTGGACCACCACGTTTGAAATATCTTTTTCAGGAAGTTCTGACACTTATTGTAGAATATTACGACAGCTTATTGTAGAATACTGCCTACACTGCACACCACGTTTGAGATATCTGTAAGATTAATATTCCTTCTCTATCTTCTAGGTGTTGTTTATTTGTACAGCGAACGTTGTGGACACTATCCCCGGTCCTCTGCGAGACAGAATGGAAATCATTCCAGTTTCAGGTTATGTTGAAGATGAAAAGAAAGCAATTGCAGAGGTGTGGAACTAAACTAACTTTATTTATACTGGATAGCTCGATCAGTTTTAAACAGTTCTCTCTAGAGGTCCAGTAACGATCATCTCCCACTGATCCAGTGTTACTACAAAACCTAAACTAAACTAACTTTATTTATACTGGATAGCTCCATCAGTTCTAAACTGTTCTTCCTAGAGGTCCAGTAAGGATCATCTCTTATTGATCCAGTGTTACTACAAAACTTGAACTAAACTAACTTTATTTATACTGGATAGCTCTATCAGTTCTAAACTGTCCTTCCTAGAGGTCCAGTAAGGATCATATCTTATTGATCCAGTGTTACTACAGGAGGAAACCTAAACTAAACTAACTTTATTTGTACTGGATAGCTCTATCAGTTCTAAACTGTTCTTCCTAGAGGTCCAGTAAGGATCATCTCTTATTGATCCAGTGTTACTACAGTAGGAAACCTAAACTAAACTAACTTTATTTATACTGCATGGATTGCTCTATCAGTTCTAAACTGTTCTCCCTAGAGGTCCAGTAAGAATCATCTCTGATTGATCCAGTGTTACTACAGGCGGAAACAGGAAAACCAATGAAAAAACCTGTGGTGTTTGGTAGAGTCAAATTGACAGCACTCTTCTCACATTTGACTGAGGCGAAATTATAATCACACAATTGGACATTGCAAGAATCCAGACTCAAATCACGGAGGTGAAAGGGACATACAGTACACCAACCACTGTGGCATCATACCCAAGAATTTATTTTGCAGTGATTGAGACCCCACTAATCTGCTTTCGCAGCGTTTTCGTATTGTTCTCCTTTCACAATTGGGAATAGAGAACAATGGTTTAATTACCTCGAATGCTACGAAAACGGATTAATGTGGACAGAGCCTGATCCGATGTGTTTACGTTCGTTTAACATTTGTAGAAATATCTTATTCCAATGGCTCGCGAGACATCCGGAGTGAAAGATCAGAATATCGAGATAACAGACGATGCTCTATCAACCCTGATCAAGTCATACTGCCGAGAAAGTGGAGTGAGGAATTTACAGAAACATATTGAAAAGGTTTGGACATTGAAAAAGAATTTTGCATATTAGATATATACATTGCACTTCAAAAACTTATTAATAATTCATGAGGAAAACACAAAGAAAAATCATAAGCGTATCGTATATCTGATAAAACTACTGCTGCAGCTCATGTTTTAAATAGTACTTAAAAGTAATGGCAGGGTAAAGTCAGCAGGTGCTAATTCTCTTTGCTTGGAGTTGAGTGCTAAATTGTGAAGGACGCATCTCGAAGGTGACTGATTCAAGAGGTTTACTAAGGCGCTACTGGTTGCTACGAGACGTCCCATGTTTGATCACGAAGCATGCAGTTTAAAGTGGAAGGGTTGAGCCCCGGTGGAGGATGAGAGTTCGTAGTCACGCATTGTTACAGCAAACATTTCAAGCTCTGGATTAAAGATGCTGTAAAGTCTGCAATGCAAGCAAACGCTTTGTTTACATTTTGAACTCAGTGCTACAGTTGTAAAATATGATTAGATATATATTATACCGAATTTTTAACACTCATCTGGTTCGCTATGCTTGTAAATGTATACAGACTAGAGATTCAATTCAAGAGAGTTCGGAAGGTGCGAAATATTTATAATATTCCAATGGTCGGGTCCGGACCGTTGGAATGCAGGCCTGCGCAGAACGGACTTTACAGCATCTTTAACAAGATAAAGGTTTGATGAATGTTCCAACTATGTTTTAACTTTAATTGAATACATGATAGTGTTGGGAAAGCATTAAGAACAGCTAACCAAGATCGCGTGACTGCTAACTCTCGTGCATTCTCATTCCATGCTTGGTCCTGGCTTACATGTAACTCAGCGTGTTAACCTTTTGTATCACCTGTGCTTCCAAACCAGCATTACACGCGGGTGTTGTTTAGGCTATTAGTATGGCATAATGTTTGTGGTGTTACTCTGAGTGTGCATCCACACCGGGCAAGCTGAAAAGTTTGCCTGACCACGATGGGAATCGAACCCGCGACCTTTGGGATACTAGTCCAACTCTAATACACCACCAACTAAGAGCTACGAGGTCAACTCGGTTCGAGTTGGTGAATATTTCGCAACTGAGTCTAGTTCTTTCGATATCAATGTATTCTCTAAGATATACTTTTTGTGTGTGTTGGTGTTATGTACTCACGTGAATAGGAACCATTCATCTGAGTTCAGACGACTGAGTTCAGTTCCCATTCAAAGTTTTATAACAAACGTACTTGCAGGGAGGTGCGTCCAATCCCGGACTCACCGAACCTGCAAGTACGTTTGGTTTTTATCCCATACACCGAGGCTGACC